CTCGGACCTGGTGAAGCACCAGCGCGTGCACACGGGCGAGAAGCCCTACATGTGCTCCGAGTGCGGCGAGACCTTCAGCGTCAGCTCGCACCTCTTCACGCACAGGCGCACGCACTCGGGCGAGCGGCCCTACGTCTGCCGCGAGTGCGGCAAGGGCTTCGGGCGCAACTCGCACCTGGTGAACCACCTGCGCGTGCACACGGGCGAGAAGCCCTTCTGCTGCGGCCAGTGTGAGAAGCGCTTCAGCGACTTCTCCACGCTCACGCAGCACCAGCGCACGCACACGGGCGAGAAGCCCTACACCTGCATCGAGTGCGGCAAGAGCTTCATCCAGAGCTCGCACCTGATCCGCCACCGGCGCATCCACACCGGCAACAAGCCGCACAAGTGCACCGGCTGCGGCAAGGGCTTCCGCTACAAAACGCACCTCGCGCAGCACCAGAAGCTGCACCTGTGCTAGGGCTGGGCCCGGGGAGCGCGTCGGGACTAGTTGTCCTGGGGACAGACCCTAGAGAAGGAAATGGGGGAGGGGCGGGAGGGACAATCTGAGAATGGCTGGGGAGCCTTTAGGTGTTTGGGGTCCTGAAGGGGAAGGTAGAGTAAGAGTTGTTCTTTCGGGGTGCTGGGTTTTTGCCTGCCTCTTCATCTTTGGGAGATGTGCTTGAGCCTGGTGACTTCATATACACGCCGTAGGGGTAAAGAGCGTGGAGGGGCAGGCACTTGAGGACCTTGAGGAAGGCGAGCTAGCGGGGTAGGGGAGGGAACCGGATGGCAGGCAATAGAATAGTTTGGGCTGTGATGGTCTAGGGGAAGCAGGGAGGGAGTGTGGTTGGAGTGAGGGTTATTGGGTAAAGCAAAAAGTTGGCGTGAATAATTCTATCCTGGTTTCACCAGGTATGGAGCCACTGTTTGCCCTGTCCCCCCACATCAGCTCTAGTCCCACGAAAAGTAGAGGAACCTTGTCAATCTTACAGGAGTGGATACTTTGTGTCCGCTTCCCTTCCTCTCTCTGAGCCACCGTTAGCTGCTATTTTGAGACATCCAGGGGAAACTGGGCAGAAAAGCTACACACCCTCATTTCAAGGGCCGAATTTTGGAGGTTTGGAAATTCTTTCATAACTGGTTTTCAGATCTTGGAAATCTTGGTCCTGCTCCTGGTTCTTGGCTACTTCCTCTAAAATATTGTAGCTTCTTGCTGGGTCAAGGTTGTCTATGTGGATGACCAGACCCCTGCCCCTGGTGTCAGGTGTGTTCCAGGCCCAGGATTTCCTTCAGGTCTCATCTGTGATCCCAGCTCTGTGTGACTTTTCCTTTCCCGAGTCTGCTTGATGTTTGTTTCAAGTTGCCCCGGTGACCTGCTACAAAAGTCCAGTAGCTTAGAGTTTTGCTGGCCTTGTGGGATAAACCCAGGAAAGCAAATGTTCACATGTTGGGGTGCAAGGCTTCTTCCTCTTATTTGCCTTCACTTTTTATCTGTGTACCCCTCCCCCTCTGCAGTAATGGAGGCGCTATTCCAACCCCCACCTCCATCCCTATTGATATGGGTTCTGGTGTGAGTAGAAATTTCTCTTTCCTATGTAGGGAGGCACAATAGAAAGCTTCAGACTTTACCCAAGGAGGGCACAAGCAGGGAGAGGTGTAAATGCAAAATTGCCAAATAGCACAAGCAATGAATGTTTTCTGGTTGTTATATAAATGCCAAAAGAGCACTTTTGTATTTGTAAAGTGCTTTATGCTTTTTAATGATTGTTAGTTGTTTCTCGCGTCTTTGTGAGGTAGAGCAGTATTATGACCCCCGTCTTAGGGCGGGCCTGGGGACAGGGGTGCAGTGCGCAGTTCTGAAGAGAGGCAGTGACGGTGTGGATAGGTGTGGTCTGACTTTTTGTGCTCTCCAGCTCAGCTGCTAGGAAGACTTACCTGCCGTGATTTATATCATAAAATAAGGACACTGAACATTCTTAATGCTTGATGGAAAACTTAAGGCTAGTCTAGAAGGGCCAAAGATGTCCTAGTTGACAAAGCTGGTCTTTGTCATGTAATTAGAGTGTCCTAGAGATGTTCCATTTCTAGTAGGGACTGTAGTTAGATGACTCTTGTATAGACTTCAGTGACCTCTGCTGAACACCCCTCCCTTAGGTTAGCCTTGAGAAGGTAGAGTTGTGGAAAGCAGTTTTGTTTTCTTTGCTAGTGATTATTGCCCTACACTTTTCATGGAAGTATCTTCACAAACTGTTGGACACACTTGAAGGGAAAAAAAAAAGCCCACAAGATTGTTTTTGTGATTTTAGCAACTTTCTATGGATACTGGTGATTTATACTTGATCAGTTGTATTCAAGCAAAGAACCTCCTTGGGTACCACAGGAAAGCATGTTTTTGCCATTATAAAAAACACTTATTTAAAAACCCTGAGAATTCGGGGCTTGTGTCAAGCCTGCTGATCTTGCCCTGTTGATCAGTTTATTGTTATTCACAAAGGCGAACAGATTTTCGAAATATAGATAGTTCTGGAAGATCCGAATTCCTTTTAATTTTCTTTTAGTCAAGAGTAGTCTGAGTAAAGCAAGCGTCCATTATTTATTCTGACTTGTCATCTGAATACTAAGTGTGTAAGACTCACAGGAAAATAATAGAGCCAATTTGCAGGTGCCCTTGCTCCTTTGTGTGTTTTTTTTTTCCATGCACATCTACCTCTTCCAGCTGTTTTAAGTTCTCTTGAGTCTGTGCGTATGAAATCTCATCCAACTTTTGATTATTCATGGGTTGATGATCAACTTTATGGGTGACTTGGTCTTTTGCTGAAGTTTTCATACTATTGCATAATCTCCTCAGCACCCAGGGTGTCCTGTAGCAGCAGATTTCGAGAGTGGGTTCAATGAGGAGAAGAGATTGAAGTTAATGTGAAATAATTTAATGGCAGTGGAAATCTTTGGATTTCATTGACCTTTCCTGTTCTGTCTATTACCTTGGAAAAGAGAGCCAGCTACTACTTCTGTATCTCTCCTGTGAGCGCATCCTTTAGCAAAGAAGACAGTCCAGCCATCAATGCCCCACTCTCCTGGTGCATCTCAAATGTGATTCCATTTCTCTTACAATTCTTCAGGGAACATATCTGCGTTAAGTGAGGTTGAATGCATTCAGGAGGTTGTTTCTTGGATCTAGTTTTAGGATTTCTAAAGCAAACCCTGGCAACTGGTTCACCCTTGAAAACGTTCATCTGAAGATTCCTTCCACCAAGTCATTCATGATGGTGGAGGCAAGTGTATCATTTGTTCCCTGAGGAGTTTGGTCAAGGGCAGGCCGCCCTTTACGGAGCAGAACCTGGAGCAGTTTTAAATAGGTTAACTGGCTTGATTAAATATTGAACGCTGTGTTCGAAGAAGAGGAGGAGAAGTTAAGCCCTTGAGCCATGTGGCCTCTTCAAGATCAGGAGGCTATACATATGTGAAAAAAGACAAACTAAGAAACCGTGTTCATAGACAATCTGAACTGTTTCTAAAGTGTGTGCGCATTTTCCTTTCCTGTAATGTTATTTTACAGCCGTTTGTTAAAATAGTGAATAATTTAATGATCCTAAAAGTAACAGGTTTTGTATGTGTGTGTGTGGGTGTGTGCTTGTGTATGTGAGAATTGCCTTATTTTCAGGTGGTTTTATTTAATAATGGTTCCTTGGACAGCATTCTGGCGTCCAGCAACCAATCCGGAATATTTGTCATTAAATCCATATCCGTCTTTTACCATGTCATTCTTTCCTCTTTTTACTTGTCACTCATTAAATATCACTCAGTTCAGTCTATGGAAGCTCCGTTCTGGTAAAGCAGGAGTGTCCAAACTATCAAATACAGCCTGCCCCTTGGTGTAAACAAAACTTTGTTGAAATACTGTTCTACCCAGACAGCCTTCTTACCTAGTGTCTGTGGCTGGTTTTGCACTAAAACAGCAAGGTTGAGTAGTTGTGACAGCGGCGACGTGACCCACAATCCTGAGATACTTACTGTCTGGACCGGTACAGAGAGAGCTTGCTGCCTCCTGATTTAATGTCCTGGTGGATCCGAGATCATCGTGGAGCTGACTGATGTCTGAAGAGTCTGCCCATTCTAACCCATGATTCACGGCAGTACTTCTGCACTGATATGGCTTTGGGAGGTTGGGAACGTGTTTATGTTATACTGTTGTCCTGATTTGCAAAGATCTGTGTCTTCATTCCTTGTTAAGAAGCGATCTGTGGGGAATTTGGGCAGTGGGCAGGGAGAAGGTAGTCATGGAGAAGAGAGGCAGTCTCAGGTCTCATCCCTAATCTATAAAAAATATAGATTCCTGAATCACGTAACAAAGTATTTTCTTTCCCCCAGTTCTCAGAAATGTAACTTAGTGGCTACTCATATTACGGAATGGAACTTATCAGCTAGACTGACCTTTTGCTCAAAATACTTTTTAGCTAGTCTCTGCCCAACATCAGGGAAACAATGAGAGAGCAGTGTGGAAGGAAGGGTTTCCCAAGAAATAGAGAAGAGGAAGCATAAAAAGCAAAAAAAACCTTAATTTCTTTTAATCATCACAGCTACCTCCTTGAGAGAATGTCCACATCCCTTTCCCTACCTAGCAGGGCCGGTAAATAGCAGGGCCGGCAAATGCTGGGTTCTGATCCTGGAAGGAGGGCAGTCAGTTCTGGGACTGCAACATTCCTCCCCAAGCCTGACTTTTTCTGGCTTGAAGCAACCACCAGTCTAACTCCTGGTCCCTGGAGAAACTACATTAAACCAAGCACTTGAAGGATTCATTCAGCGTCCTGTGGGGACACAGCAGTAGACCTGGTCTTCAGCACTGCACCGTGAGGGGATGCTCAGCCTGAACTTCCTCCTAGAGCAGCCTCTGTCCACGTCCCATTTACAGAAGGTGTCTCTGGTCAACTTGGAATTCTCTGGGCTTGATTAATTTCAGACAGAGATGTTCTTCATTTAACATTAACTGCACAGTGGAATTACCTGGAGAGATTTAAAAACAAAAACAAAAACAAAAAACCCAAACCAAAAGAGTGTTCCAGGCATTGATGGATTGGTCTGTGGTCATGTCCAAGTACCTGTGATTTTGCAAAGTCTTCCTAGGCTATTTTAATAGGAATTTAATGGAAATCTCAACAAGGGTTGAGAAGTCCATAGGACCATTTAAACACTTCCTTTTTTCCTTGGAGATTTTAGTAAGTAAAACTCATAAGCCTCAAATCCTCTCCTAAGAGGTACAGAGGGCATCTGTCAAATGCCAACGGGGTTGTCACGTGCAGCAGGCTTTTCTGCCTGTCTCCTTTGTTTCGCCTACCTTTCCCACATGCCTTCCCCAAATAAAGATAGTAAGTAAGGCCAAGAAAGTGCCTGCTTTGCTGTTCATCAGACACTGCCCCATGGGCACCGCAGGCTGCCACTGGCCCTTCTGTGTTTGCCAAACACAGACTGCCTTCCTCCTCTCCTTTCTGATCCTCATTCACTCCGCTCACTTTGCAAAGCAAAATTCCATGCATTTCTTTTTTTCTCAGCTGCCCCTGGTGGTCAGAGGAACCCACCAGCAGGTCCTCAGCTTGAACTGACTAGCATCGCCCAGTCAGAGCCTCAAGTGCCTGCAGTTCCCTGCTGCCCGCCTGCATTTCAAGGTCACCTCTGTTAACCCAAAGCACATTCCAATGGTTTTCAATTTCCAGCTGCCCTGGCGGGATCCTGTTCACAGTCCCTTCTGCACCCATCTGTGATGAGGTGACCTGGCTCTTCACAGCAGCCAGGATGCTCAGCTTTCGAAACCAAAGAAGTAAGTGACAAGGTGTTTCATGTACCAGATATCCCTGGGCTTAAGACGGAAAAAGATACCTGTACATGCAGTGCTCAAGCTGGCGTTCCCACGTACATAATTGGAACGGTTTCATCCTGAGTGAAAGGACTGAAAGGTTCTGGGCCCACCTGTTACTGGAGACTGGATTCAATGGAAGCAGTTCAGTGCAGACAGTTATTCACAGAAGATACTCCTCCTCTGAGATGCCCTCCCTGACCTATGAGGGCTGGAGTAGCTCTTCTGCAGAGACGTTCCCCTAATAACCCGTATACATTTCTGGTGTCTGGGCGGCCTCTGTTGTGCCCCAAGTCTGTGGCTTGCTAAGAGCAGAGTCCCTGAGGAATTCACTTCACAGCCGGCCGAGTGGCCGTGTGCTGGCCAGTGCCTGATGCTGGGGTACATGTGTGAGAGAGGGAGAAGCCCGCATGTCCTAACAGTCCGGAGGGTGAAGGAAAGGCTGTTTTGTTCTCGGCCTAACATCCAACCCAGCTTCCTTGTGGTGAATCATTTTGCAAACTGTGTAACTTCAAGTGTTTGGCCTGGGGCAGGGGAGGGGGGGCGACAGGCGGGCAGGAGAGAGGAAAGAAGGAACTTCTTTTTTTTAATTTTTAAATTTTTTATTTTTGTGTGGGGAGGTAATTGGGTATATTTATTTATTTATGTATTTTTTAATGGAGGTGCTGAGGATTGAACCGAGGACCTCATGCATGCTAAGCACACATTCTACCTCTAAGCTATACCTGCCCCACAAGGAGGAACTTCTTAATACCTTCCAGTGTCACACCTGGGCAAGACGGTACCTCCCCAAAGGCTCAGGATAAAGCAGTTTCTCTGCTGAGGACTGTTGTGACTGTAAGTCTCAGTCACCACCGCTGCAAATCAGGCAGTGTCTGCTTTATCTGGCTTTGTGGTTGGAGAAGAGGGGCAGTGTGTGACCTTGGAGAGGCTAATGACGTAAGGGACCGCTACGAGATCTGGCTAGACATTTCTTTCGTCAGGAAGCGTCTGAATAGAGTGGAACTTCGATAGACCAGGACCACCTCAAGGCTTTGGCTGAGGTAGCCCTACTGCCCCCTGGGTTAGCGACATAGTAGGGGTCAGAGACCTGACTTCACAGCCACAAAAGCTCTGGATGGAGAGAGCCGCTGTCCAACCTTGCTGCGGCCTAGGCTGGGCACTGCAGGTGGACTTGATCTTGGCCTTGTCTTCCAGTGGAAAGATGCAGGTGTGACATGTAGGGAGAAGACCAAACCAAATAACAAACATGAAGGTTCTTGGAAGGTTTAGGAGCTTGCATCATAGCTCCTGGGAGCCGAGAAGGGGGAGAGAGGCATTTGCTTGCACGATGACTGTGTTGTCTCCAATTTTCCGTAACGGATGAGGTGCCCGGTGCCAAGAGAGCTGGGGCAGGGCTGGGAAACTGAGTCCTCAGCCTTGGCTTTGCACAAACAGAAATACTCAAAGAGAGGGCGGTGTTACTGTGCGGGTTAGCTGCAGAAATATGGGGGGTGCCGGGGGAGATGTAGCTGACTCACGGCTCCCCAGTGCTATTGGGATGGACCTTAGACGTGGGCCACAACCTTCATTTTGCAGGTAAGGAAACAGACCCAGGAAAGTAAGGGGATTTGCCTAACTTTGAAAGCAAAATTGAAAGAGAATCCGGTTTTCATTCTTTTTCTTTTTTCTTATTTATTTCCTTTTTTAATTCTTAAGTTTTATAGAAGTGTAGTCAATTTACAATGTTAGTTTCAGGTGTAGAGCTAAGTGATTCAGTTATACATACACATACATACATATATATGTATTCAGTTTCTTTTCCATTACAGCTCATTACAAGAAACACGGTTTGAATCCTAGTTGAATATCGTTCCCTGTGCTATATGGTAGGTCCTTGTTGCTTATCTATTTTATATGTAGTGATGTGTATCTGTTAATCCCAATTTTCTTTTTTGATGGAGGTACTGGGGATTGGACCCAGGACCTCATACATGCTAAGTATGCTGTCTACCACTGAGCTATACCCTCCCCCTAGAGTTTTTGTTGTTGTTTGAGGAAATGGTCTGCTTCTAAAATGAGCAAATGCTCTCTTCCCTTTGCCCTCCTCTTCCCCCTTCCCCAGGCCCCCCTCATCCAGCTACCTTCGTTCCTAGCGCCTGCCTGTCAAGGACCCACATTCCATAGAAGATGCAGGCAGCTGATGTGCTGGTTAAGCCTGCCCTCTGCCCTCTTTCCAAATGTTCTCTCTTATCCCCGCCCCCCAGCTTCCAAATGTGGGGTCCACAGCAGGGCAGTAAGCCAAGCACGGGGCCAGGAGTGGGGGAGCGTGTCACTATGTAGTGACTTCACACTTGCGCTGGTGTGAGGAGGAATTTAGGTCCCGGCCGACGAGAAAGAAGGCTACTCCTACCTTAACAGCCAGGGTCCACACGGGGATGGTGATGGGGCCAGCAGCCCACCTTGCACCCACTCCTGTCGCCAGCACCTGTTTGGAGGAAGGGCTGACTTTGTGGGTGTAGGTTCTTCTGTTTCTCATGGAAAGACTGAGCTCTTAACTAGTGGGGAGCTTCAAGTCTCCAGAACAGACTGGTGACTGTTCCAGAGTTTGCAGCTGACCCCAGAGCCCCCTGCCTTTGGTGATAGAGCGGCCAATCCACTTTTTGTCGGTCCTCCCCCTGCCGCCCTCTCCAGCCCCATGTCGTCATAATGAGCCTCTTTCACGCTTTGAAACTCCCAAGTCCATTCCGTGTCCAGACCCTTGGGATCCTGGGCCACGAGAAAAGAAAAGGACTCCCCGCAAACTTCCCCAGAATCCCTTGGGTGCTTTAAGAAGCCCTGACTGTAACCAGAGGATTGAGAAGTCCTCACCTCGAGTCACGTAAGAGAGTGGGAGAGTTTCTTCGGAAGTCAGTTTTTAGAAATAGAA